CTCCCCGGTCCGGCCCCCCTCCCCTCCAGCCGCGGCGTGTCCCGCAGGTACAGCCACGTGTGGAGGAGCTGTCGGAGCTGTACCGAGAGCTGAGCCAGCACCCGGGGCTCAGCACCGCCTGCCTCGGCCCCGACCTCACCACCCAGTACGGGGGCAAGTACTGCAGCCTCTACACCGGTACGGGGATGGGGAGGACTGGGGGGGAAAGAGTGGTCCGGGGAGTCCTTGCCTGGCTGGTGGGGATGCAGCTGGTGTCCTCACCCTGCTCCCCGCAGAGTGGTCACAGAGGGACCTGGCAAGGGCTGAGAACATCAAGTTCTGCCGTCAGTACCTCATCTTCCACGATGGAGCCTCCATTGTCTACTCGGGGCCCGCTGGCACCTGCTCTGAGATCAAGGACGAGTAAGTCCCATCCCGCCCCCACACGTGATCCTCGGGGAAGCGGTAAGTGGGGGCTGATGGGCACTCACCCACTCACCCTCAGGCTGCTGAGCCGGGAGTCCCCCAGTGGGATGCTGAAGGCCGTCCTGCGTAAGGTCCCTGCCAAAGGGAAGGAGAAAGAGAAGCAGTTCCTGGAGGTGAGGAGGGTTCTGAGGGAAAATGGATATTTATTCACTGGGGTTTGGGGCTGGAACCACTCTGTGTCTTGGCACCGCCCTGGCATCTCTGCCCCCAGGTCTGGGATCAGAACCGGAAGGTGAAAAGCATTGACCTGACAGCGCTGGACAAACATGGCAGCGTTTATGATGATGGTGAGGGGCTGGGGGCTGCCAGGGAATGTGGGTTTTCAGGGAACAGGGTAGCCAGTGCTGACCTGCCCCTGCAGACCAGTTTGGGTGCCTTGCCTGGTCTCACTCGGAGACCCACCTGCTCTATGTGGCGGAGAAGAAGCGTCCCAAGGCTGAGTCCTTCTTCCAGAGCAAAGCCCCCGAGCTGGGCACCTCTGATGAGGACACGGGGCACCCCAAGAAGGAGGATGCACCCATCAAGGTGGGGTCTCCCCACCCTGGGTCAGCTGGGGGCTGGCTGTGTGGCTGTGGGGCTGACCAGACTGTGCCACAGGGTGAGCAGTTCGTGTACCACGAGGACTGGGGGGAGACGCTGAGCACCCGCAGTGTGCCCGTCCTCTGCGTCCTGGACATCGAGGGCAACAGCATCTCAGTGCTGGAGGGCATCCCAGAGCACCTCTCTCCCGGCCAGGTCAGTCTGGGGAGCTGCAGGGAACCAGAGAAGGGAGGTTTCAGGAGCCAGCAGCATTTTGTGTTGAGTATCTCCCCTCTCCCCACAGGCTTTCTGGTCACCTGAGGACACCGGCGTGGTGTTCGTGGGCTGGTGGCACGACCCCTTCCGCCTGGGGCTGCGGCACTGCACGAACCGCCGGTGAGTCCCTGCAGGGCACCCTACAGCCCAGCCCTGCTGGCAGGCCCTGCAGGGCACCCACCCCACAGCCTGGGCCCCCTGACCCCACTGTGACACCCCTCTGTGCTGGCAGGTCAGCGCTCTTCTACGTGGACCTGACAGGGGGGAGATGTGGTAAGCAGTGCATGCCCCAGTCCTGCTGGTGCCCTGGCTCTCCTGCCACCCCTCACCATCCCCTCACCATCCCCTCGTGCCCATGCAGAGCTGCTCTCTGAGGACACCAGGGCCGTGTGGTCACCACGACTCAGCCCCGATGGCTGCCGCATCGTCTACCTGGAGAACCATGTCCTGGGCCCCCACCAGCAGTGCAGCCAGCTCCGCATGGTGAGCAGCACCAGGGGGACACTGGCAGGCACCAGGGAGGTGCCAGGGTGCCCATGCTAGGGTGGGGCTGGCAGGAGGGCAGCAATGTCCCCTCCTTGGGCTGCAGTGGGGGCAGGCAGGCTGAGACCCTGCAAAATTTGCCCAATGCCATGTCTCCTGCAGTACGACTGGTACACCAAACACACCAGCACGGTGCTGGAGGCTGTGCCACGGCAAGCATGGGGTGAGTACAGCTCTGGGGGTGTTGGGGGAGACTCAGGGGGATGCTGAGTACC